CAGAGATGTCCAAATTAAAGATTAGCGCAAAAGTAAAAATCAAATAAATAATAATGTAAAGTAAAAAGATGACTAAATGTTACATTGAATTTTATTGTATTAGAATTCATATTTAATTTTCTATATATAGATCCTTTAATATATAGTTCAAGAAATATAGTGTATCTGTATTTTTAACATATTCATGCTTTCTTTTCTTTTCTGTTTTATTTTTATTTTTATGATTTTAGTTTTTTATATATATGAAATATCTTGTCTATAGCAAGTCGACGTCTAACAAAATGTAATTCAATTAATATGACAATATTTTTTGTCTATATATTTTAATGTGATGTTTTTTTATTATGGATGTCATGTCTTTATTTACTTTTCTTTCTTTTCCGTTTGAACTTGTAATTTTTTCTATTAATTTGATGTTACACCGCCTAGACATTTTGTAATATTTTTCTTTATAGGTATCTTTTTTATAGCCAATTTCTTTTTTGATTATTAAAACTTACGTTTAGTAATTAAAATATATTAATTCTTCTAATATAATAAAAGGTTTATTTTTATTAAAAATTGAAAATATCAAACCTTCAACATCTGACACAAGATTTTCATGCTATATTTTGTGAAGAGTTATATTCTCATTTCAAACTTACATACAAAAGGACTTAGCTTTGAACTCAGTGATGAATTTATGTACGCTCCACTATGATTATATAAATTAACTTTTCTAATGTCATTTAGAGGACAAACTTGCAAAGCACATTCCCAGGACTAGTAAGTTAAAAAGAAGGATAAACTACCTTATTAGACATACATCACTACTATATATACTAATATTATCTTTACTTTTAAACAATTACATATATTACCACTTTTAGTATTTTATACCATATATTAATATATTATTTAAAAATACAATTAGATACCCACATCCCTTAAAACTATTATTGATTAATTATTTGCTTAAATAACTCTTTCACTCCAAATCAACCACTATCTCTTAATTTTCTCCTCCCATGTTTATCACTCAATTATGTCTCCTCCTTTTTTATTCAAGAATTTCACCTTACAATTTTATTTCAATAATAGTTAATCTACTCTCTTCTTCTCAAGATCGATATCATCACCACAAATTCTCCTGAACCCAAATATTATTTTATATTGTTCATTTATCACGAGTTCCAATCACATTAACTGCTACAGAGAAAACTTTCAATTCATAGTGGGTCTTGATTGTTTGTCTCCAAAAAAAATGGATCTTAGTTTTGATTATGTTATGCCACAGCGCAAAAGGATCAAATGGAATATTGTAGAGAGTTTTTGTTTGCTGGTGTTCTTCTAAGACTTTCTTTGGTTACTGTGATATAGATGTGGTAGTACCAATATTAATAGCCCTTGAAACATGTGTATCCAATAAGTAGTAATCTTAATTCAGATCTGAGTTGTATTTTTAGTAATGGGGTATCTGAACATGTATATGAATCCACTATTAAATTTCGGATACATGATTTTTTACAACACAATGATATTAATGATACGACATATACTCTACAATCGTGATTTGTTCATAGATTCATGTGTGTCAACTACATTTCATATTTAGATACACATAATTAAATGTACATGCTTATTATATATTCGAGATACATGTTTTTGGAGTATGAAATTTGGATACACATAATTAGATGTATACACTTCTTCTTTTTGTATATTCCATATTAAGATACACATAATTAGATGTATATCTTTACTATGTATTCGAGATACATGTTTTTGAATATAACATATGCAATTGATACTTGATACATCAAATTCATACTAGATACATATAAAAGATACATGAAATTAATATTAGTTATATATATAAATAGATACATCAAATTCATACTAGATACATATAAAAGATACATGAAATTAATATTAGTTATATATATAAATAGATACATAAAATTAATACTAGATACGTATAACAAATACATGAAATTAATGTACTTGTATGACACTCATGTATCTAAATGTTTAGTTTGTTGGATACATCATATATTGATAATAGATACATCAAATTAATGAATTTATTATTTTAAGAGTAATAATTTGAAATTAATCAAATTACATTACCAAGATATACATGTTTTTATCTTATATTAATAATATTAATGAATTTACTATTTCAAAGAATAATAAAATAAAATTAATTATCTATGTATTTTGAAAATCCTCAATTACTCCTCTAATTAAGGAAATAAGTTACAACCAATTAATTTAAATAAATAAATTTTGTATCTCAATTTTAAAATTCGACAGATACGTGTATCTCATGGATTCAGACTCATATATCCTAATCATGAAATATGATAGAGGAAGTAATATTTAAAACTATTGGGAATCTTAGTTATTAAGATCTAAACTAGTGGGATTTATGTGATTTGCCCTAAAAAGAAAGTACTATGTAACTTAAACAATAATGTCATTAGCTTTTCGCCCAAATTTGAAAAATACATCTACATTCCCTTCCCCCTATATAATCCCTCTTAACTAATGCTGAGATAGTGAAATGGAATTACAATAAAGTTTAAAGAATCCCAACAGGACTGAATGCTTATTACTTCTATTATAAAATATGATAACTTCTAAGTTTTATAAGTTTTGAGTTTTGTCACTATTGACAAAATCAAACATTAACACTTAATTTGACCTTTTGTTTTTAATGAGAAAAAAGCATGCGTAGTGCCTCCTTAACTCCGGATCTAGAGCTCTTATATGGGCTGACCAACCCTATCTGGGCTAACCCATCCAGACTTTGAAATTTGACGGGCCAAGCCAGGCTGACTTAATTTTTTGTGGGCTAGAAAACGGTCAGCCCAATCCACAAGTACGTGGGCTACGGGTTGTGTTGGGTCATCCCACTTTTTTTTTTTTAAAATAATATATTTTTATAATTTTTTAAATTAACCAGTAATTTAAAAATATTATCATAAATATCGACAAAAAAATATTACATGGTGTTAGTGTTACTAATTGTTAATCAAATCCACAAATAAAATTATCAATTATCATAAATATCGAAAAGAAAATATTACATGGTGTTAGTGTTACTAATTGTTAATCAAATCCACAAATAAAATTATCTTTGTAATATTTTTAAGTTTGATTTCAAGTAAAAAGTATAAATAGCTAAATAGAAATATTAACCTAATTATTTCTAATGATTATAATAAAACACAAAAATATGACAATATTTCATAGGCTACGACCTACGTAGTGATTCCCTAGAAATTTTAGGGAATTTTTATTTTATGCAGTACATATTTTATAAACATAATATGTACTTATTTTAATATTTAAAAATTAAAATAGATTTTGAGTTTGGACTCTTGTTATTTTTAAGAATACTTTATTTTTATTTATTTTTAATTAATTTTTATTTGGCCCGAAGGCGGACCCCACCTATATTTCTCAGGGCAAATTACAGAAATCACATACTTTTAAGGCAAAATTACAATTTATCCCTTAAAAGTTTATAATTACAGAAATCCCTCAAACGGATACAATAATATAAGCGCTGATACATTAATCTAATGCGCGAGATATATTAATCATTAAGTAAGATACATTACATTTTATACATGATACACTAATCTGATGCGCGAGATACACTAATCTGATGCGCGAAAATAAGGGATTTTGGAGATTTGTAAAACTTATAGGGGATAATGGTAATAAGTAAACTAAAAGGTGGGATTTCTATAATTTTTCCTATTTCTCATGCCTCGCAAATGAACAGAGTTATTCAGGGCGGGCTAAAAAGCTCTTTCTTAAATGGGCTCCAAACATCTTAGCCCAGCCCTATCAAATCAAGGGTTAGGCAAGACCTGCCCAACAGAACTAGCCCACATTAATGGCTCTAGACCAGATTGTTGAATCCTTGAACTAGTTTTATGCTTGTCAAAATTAGCCCTGAACTGTGTGAAATAGACCATTTATACCCTCCATTATACTTTAGAATTAAAAATGTCCCTGTCATTATCCCAAGAGACCACAAATACCCTCAAAAGTTAACAACCCAAATTTTTAGTGATGTGGGACTAATCCCTCCAACTAAGTATTGCCAACTAGGATTCACTATGAGAAAAGGATCTTTAGCGGCAACAAAAGTCGCCACAAAATTTCAAAATATCGCCACTAAAGGTTTTCAATAATTATGCAAAAACCAAAAGTCGTCGCTAAAGGTCCAGTTTCTGGTAGTGAATCTTAGTTGGCAACGCTTAGCTGGAGGGATTAGTTCCACGTGGCTTATAAATCATCATTTTAAAGGGTAATGAATTCAATGTTAAGAACTCTAATGATTGAATTCATTAAGTTAAAATTTTGGATTTGCGTTTGGGTCACTGTATCATCTATCTGGTGTACATTATTTATATTCTTGAAAAGTCATAACCTCATCTGCAACTATAAATTTACTAAGCATGAGAAAGAGACCTTACACCAGACTTCTTCAAGATAGGATGATCAAGATGAAGACACTTTTGAATTATTTTTAAAATCGCTATATGCATCATTCTTTTTCATTAATAGAGTCAATACTTAATAATTTTAGTGCCCTGAGAATATTCATAATTAGAGGGTTGAAGAAATATAATTATGTCAATCACACAATTATAATGTTCTAAATTTACAACTGAAATTTCAGGACATTATCTTGGAGTTTTACGAATGGAATTTGAAAGTTCATGACGATAGCTATTTTTCGTACGAATGCTAACTGGTTTTCTCAACTCTTATGCTAGCTTTGTAAGCAGCATATATGATTGGAGTCTGGAGATAACAGACATTTTTGAACTCTTTTTTTTTTTTAAAAATGGAACATATATAAAGTAAAGGAAACGATCAACGAAAAACTGACTTCTATCAAAGAGGATATGCTTTTATATTCTTCAATCAGCTATGAACAAACAGCGAAACACTTTATTTAATAATGAAAAAGTAACATAAAGTATACAGTAAAAACAATAAAATGTTTGAATACTTTATGCACTTATAGCCAATTTTTTTCACTAGACCAACACAACTGCAATTGGACTTCTCGCTGAGTGCCTAGTAGAAGTCCATTTCAAGAATCCCTCAACAAGCACAACTTTTGAACTGCTGGTTGTCTTGGAAAATGTCACTTGGTATGTTAACTTCTGGTTCAACTCGGAGAAATTTAGCTCTGTAGGTTCAACTTCTATGGCAACTCCTATTGGTGAAGCTATCTCCACTTTGTAAGATGATGCAACATCACCAACATTGGTCACAGTTCTTGTATATGTCTGAGGAGTTGATCCAAGTCCAAATATGGAAAACGAAGGATAGTTTAATTGTGCTTCAGGGATACTTTTTACTTCCAAGCAATTTACCTTGCGTCGTAACAGGCTACCTACCTGTGCATTTGTGTACCTCAAACCACATAAATAAGGTAAATAGTCCTCGGAGGGGGTATCATAAACTAGTCCTGGATCATTTGCCCTTGATGGATTAACGTGTCCTGCACCAATTGCAAAGATGTCTGCAGGAAGTAACCTTTCATCTAGTATTGGACTACTGGCAAGGTTTAACGTGTAAGCGGTTGTCATGATTGCAGACTTAATAGCAGAAGGAGACCAATTAGGATGTGTACTCTTCAGCAGAGCTGCTACGCCACTAAGGTGAGGGCAAGACATTGAGGTGCCTGATATAATATTAAATGTGGATTTGGTGTTTTTGTTGTCATCCACGGAGGTAGGCCAAGCAGCAAGGATATTAACACCAGGACCGATTATGTCAGGTTTCAAGATGCCAGGACTAGGTTTATTTGGTCCGCGAGAAGAAAATGAAGCAACTATGGGAGCATTTTTATCTCCAATTATTGTTCCTTGGAATGTGATTGTAGCAATAGGGTTTGATATTGAGTTCGTATAAGCAAGAATTCTGATTCCATCTGCAGCTGAAACCTCCAATGCTGGAAGAACATGAGCATCAGCTGATTTAGTGACACCATCTTGTGGCAGGTTGATGGCAATCATGCCAACACCTCCAGCATCCTTCACAGCTTGTCCTTTATCAACATTTGAAACGACACCTGGATAACATATGACTATCTTTCCTTTTATTGCAGGGTCAGTGAGTGACCCTGGTTTGCAATAAGGGGTTTTAGATGGATCACCTTTACTTTTTGCAGCATCATATAGAGTGTAGAATGTTGAGTTGGAAATCTGTGGACGATAAGCAGATTCCCCTTCAAATTCCTCTGTATTTCCAAGTGTAACAGTAACTTTTATCTTTCTATCAGTAGTGCTGGCGCCTACCGTAAGAATCCAAGGGGCTGTGTTTCCTGCTGAGAAACTGGATGGACCACTATTTCCAGCAGAGCAACTTACAAGAATCCCTCTTTCTGTTGCACTGTACGCCCCGAGAGCAATATTGTCACTATGGAAAGGGACGGGACCTCCACCAAGGGACATTGAAAGAATATCTACTCCATCATCTATAGCTGAATCCATGGCAGCTAAAATATCACTGTCAGAACACTTGCCATCGGAACCACATACCTTATATATGGCTATATGGGCAAGAGGGGCAACACCAACAGCAGTCCCATTAGCATTCCCAAATACATTAGCACCTTTCACAAAGGCTCCTGCAGCTGTGCTTGCTGTGTGTGTACCATGTCCATTACCATCTATCGGGGAACCATTGCCAAGTTGGTAAGACCTCGCTCCAATGAGCTTTTTGTTACACTTGTTCGTAAAATTGGACTCACAAACTCCTTTCCACTTAGCAGGTGGGGGAGGCATCCCAATGTCGCTAAATGAAGGATGATCAGGAAGAATTCCAGTATCTAGAACTCCTATGATCACGCCTTTCCCATAATTCGAGTCTTTCCAGAACCCCATGTTCTGTTGCAACCCCATGAAATTTACACTATGTGTGGTGTGTAAATTAAGAAACTGCTGGGGGCGTGCAGAAACAAATCCTTCCATTTTTTCCATTTCCTTTATATCTTCTTGTGATAACTTAGCTGCAAAGCCCGTTAGGACATTTCGATAGGAATATATCAAATGTGGTGCCTCACGAGAACTATCCGAGGTTGTTGTAGGCAAGAAAGAAAGATACCAGCTTTCTAAATCTTGGTATTTGGCAGTCCTTTCCCCATCAGGGAACTGACAGTGAACAATATAGATTTGTGAATTGTTCTGTTTTGTTGCATTAGTGGTAAATGATATGAGCACACAAATCAGCCCAATTACAGTAAGAATTGAACTGTATTGAGCCATCATAACTTTAGTACTGAAGAAAGAGATGTTATTTGGTGTGTGTTTTTTGAATTTTTATTGAGGGTATATATACACATTGGAAGTATATTTTTTTATTTGCAAGTAAGAAGTTAGTTTTAGAAATGTGAAATAGTCATGTCTGAAGATTCTTGGATTTAATAGAAAATAGAAAGTGAACTGGTCATCTATACGCTAAAATGATTTTATTCTACTTAACTTCTATTTGTTAATGAAGTTGGCATAGCAACATCATATAGATGAAGTCATCAATCTGAAATATACTTAAGTAATGTTCGAGTCAACTTGAACACACCTTAACTAATACATGAGGCGTCTTGTTCATCTCGCAAGTACTCACTCCATCCCAAAATAAATGTTTCCTTAGGAATTCAAGACAAAAATTAGCTTGTTTTTCAGCCAAACCTTTATATTGATAGTGTTCAATTTTAAAGAGAAGTATATAAGAAGAGTAGTTTAGTAAACTACACATTATGTTTGTTGATTTCTTAATGAGTGTGATTTTTGTTAAGGTGACACTTATTTGGGATGGAGGAAATATATGTTACAATATTGTAGTTGTGCTCATAGAGGTTAGAGCTAACGAACTCATACACCTAGTGTAGTAGCTGAATTTTTAACATGATATCTCTAGATGGTTACTCCGGTGGGTGATGGCTCGATCATTAGGTTATCCTCGTGGGGACTGAAAAAAGTCTTAGAAATATACCTAATCACTTGAGAGTTTGGAACCCGAGGATAATCACAACCTCTGCCACAGCCTCTGCCCTTCGGGTGTGCACTTTGTGCGGCCTGAGAGCTGGAGTTGACTAGACCACAATCGCCACATGCTACCTTCTAATAAGTTTGGATGCCACAATCGAATTTTGACCTAGTATCTTGTGAAATTAGTTGAGGTGCAACAAGTTAACTCAGACACCACAACTATAATATTAATAATAAAAAGTACAATGTAACTTAAAATAATGTCATTAGCTTTTTCCCCAAAATTGTAAAATACATGTACATTCCCCTATTGGATCCTTCTTAACTAACGGTGAGATAGTGAAAGGGAATTTCAATAAAATTTAAAGAATCCCAATAGGCTGATGTAACTATAATAAAATATGATAACTTCTAAGTTTTATACGTTTTAAGCTTTTCCAATATTTTGACAAAATCAAGCATTACCACTTAATTTGACTTTTTGTTTTTAATGAGAGACATTATAAATCGTAATTTTAAAATTGTAGTGAACTCAACGTTAAGAACTTTAAAGATCGAATTCATTAAGTTAAAATTTTGGATTCTGTTTAGGTGACTGTATAATCTATCTAGTATACACTATTTATATTTTCAAAAAGTCACAACTTAAAAAATAAATAAATTATTTAAGAGTAAACTATTAAATTACTAAGCATGAGAAAGAGACCTTACACCTGACCTCTTTAATATAGGATGATCAAGATGTAGACACTTCAAAATTATTTTTAAAATTACTATAGCTTAAAACTTCATGGACCATCTCTTTTCAGATACCAAAAGACAATAATACTTTTGTACGTATTCTCTTGAATTTTGAAATATTCAATGAGATTATGAGTTATGTATTACTATAGCTTAAAACTTCATGGACTATCTCTTTTCATATACAAAAAGACAATATATTCTCTTTAATTTTGAAATATTCAATTATTTTATTAGTTATTTATTACATTCTTTTCTTTATTTTTATTACTTTTAATTTATTTTTTTCCCACCAAATTGAATCAGTCAGGCAAATTATTTGATTTTTCTCTTTTATACTTATTCTGTATCTTCTATGAAACATGTGAACATAATATATAAATAGTAATTTGTTAATCTTCTTCTGCAAAATCATCTGCAGAACATCGTCCCTGTAATTCCCCATTCTGTTCCGGAAATTCACCACTTGTTACTGTAGAAAGAATCATGCCTTGCCATATTACTTATAGCAGCTAAGAGAAAAAAGAACAGAGGTATAACTAACATAATATCTAACTCGGTAACAAAGAAGTGCCTCAGACAATTTGCCCATTGGAAGATGTCACGATTAAGATTTTAAGTCATGATTAAAGGGTGCCTTATTATATAGTTTTTTCCAGATTTGAATAATAAATGAAATTCTCACTTTGTTGAAAAATAATGCAATCAAAGGAAAAAAAATTGTGTTTAATCGTCATTGACTTCCAACTCCAATTAGCTACCCAGTTAGATAATTGAGTTACTGAATTTCTCTTAAAAATGCTATCAGTTTTCTCAACTCTCTTTTTCTGAAATAAGAAAAGAAAGAAATATATAAAAAGTAGAAGAAATGATGGAAGGAAAACCAATGCTTTTTTATTGCTGTGAACAAACATTGAAACAATATTTCATAATGATAAGTTTAATTAAAGACCAGTGAAAATCAAAATAGTGGTAAAAAAATGAAAAAGTAACATAAAGTATATAGTGAAAACAAACAGCATTTTCACTATAATCAAATGTATGACTACTTTCTGCACTTATGTAGCCAATGCAAACACAACTGCAATTGGACTTCTCACAGAGTGCCTGTTAGAATTCCACTTCAAGAATCCCTCAACAACCCCAGACTTTGAGCTGTTGGTTGTCTTGGAAAATGTCACTTGGTATGTTAACTTCTGGTTCAGCATTGAGAAATTTAGTTTGGAGGGCTTAACTTTCATGACAACGCCTTTTGGTGAAGCTATCCTCACCTTGTAAGATGATTTGGCGTCACCAACGTTGGTCACAGTTCTGGTGTACGTCTGAGGAGTTGATCCAAGTCCGGATATGGAAAATGAAGGATAGTTTAATTGTGCTTCAGGGATACTTTCAACATCTGAGCAATTCACCTTGCGTTTTAACAGTTTACCTACCTGTGGATTTGTGTAATTCAAACCACAAAAATAACGTACATAGTCCTCGAATGGTGTATCATAAACTAGTCCTGGATCATTTGCCCTAGATGGATTAACATGTCCTGCACCGATTGCATAGATGTCAGCAGAAAGGAGCCTTTCGTCTAGTATTGGACTATTGGCAAGGTTTAACGTGTCAGCGGTTGTCATGATTGCAGACTTAATAGCAGCAGGAGACCAATCAGGATGTGTGCTTTTTAGCAGAGCTGCTACGCCACTAAGGTGAGGGCAAGACATTGAGGTGCCTGATAAAATATTGAATCTGGATTTGGTGTTTCTGTTGTCATCCACAGAGATAGGCCAAGCAGCAAGGATATTAACACCAGGACCGATTATGTCAGGTTTCAAGATGCCAGGACTAGCTTCACTTGGTCTGCAAGAAGAAAATGCAGCTACTATGGGAGCATTTTTATCTCCAATTACTGTTCCTTGGAATGTGATTGTAGCGACAGGGTTCGATGTTGAGTTCATATAAGAAAGGATTTTTGTTCCATCTGCAGCTGAAACATCCATTGCTGGAGTGGCACCGTAACTTGGCTGGTTGATGATAATCATGCCAACACCTCCAGCATCCTTCACAGCTTGTCCTTTATCAATATTGGAAACGACATCATCTTGTAGACATAATACTATCTTTCCTCTTATAGCAGGGTCAGTGAGTGACCCTGGTTTGCAATAAGGAGTTTCGCTTGCATTTTTTGCAGCATCAAATCGAGTGAAGAATGTTGAGTTTGAAAACATTGGACGATAAGCAGATTCTCCTTCGTATTTCTCTCTATTTCCAAGCTTAGCAGTAGCTTTTATCTTTCTATCAAGTGTGCTGGCACCTACTGTAAGGATCCACGGGGCTGTATTTCCTACCGAGTCAGTAGAAGGACCATCATTGCCTGCAGAACAACTTACAAGAATGCCTCTTTCTGTTGCACTGTACGCCCAGAGAGCATTATTGTCATCATAGAAGGGCTCGGAGATCTGTTATTAATCTGTGTATAAAAAATCAGAATTATTGATTTTAATAAACTTTGCAGAAACACGAAGTAACCAAAGTTTAATAAACCAGTAAGAATAGATGAACAGAAATTAATTGACAAAACTAAAATCTGTAATAAACGTACCACAATCTGGAAAAAACAGAATCAGAAAAAGATCAAGCCCACTGAATGCACAGTGTCCCCTTAAGGAAATTATTCCCCTCTAGTATCCGAGGTTTGATTTGGAATATGTCCTCCCAGGATAGAATGATCTCAATCACCAGTGTATTGATACCCAAAACGCTGGTGTCAGCGAACCACTCAACAGCAGTAAAGTACACGAAGAAATTTTGTGCAGAAGAAGAAGAAGAAATCAGAAAAATTCGTGAGGAATAAATCTGAAGAATCAATGTATTTATAGGCAAGAGGAACTGGTTCCGAAAGGTTGCAATCCTTTCAGAATCCACACGACCATTCATGAAAGTTGCAACTTTTCAAACGGTCATGGCTGTTTCTGAAAGTTGCAATCTTTTAGAACAGTCACTGCGGGAAATTTAAATAAAACGGGAAAGATTTAAATTAAACGGGTCGCGCATGGATCCGAGTCGGGTCGGGTCAATTAACTAATTAATTGAATCGGTTAATTAACTAATTAAAACGTTGGCCATTTAATTTAATTTAATTAATTAAATAATTAATTAACTAAAATAATTAAAACAAACTTTGTCCAAAAAATAATCTCTCGATCAATCATTTTTCCAAATCCAAATCCAAAGCCGAGCGACGACGACGACGGCGCGAGGGGGGTCCCTCTTTCCAACCCTTTTAACAATTAATAGGAGTGTTTCTATATTTAAACTCTCCTATTTTTCGTTCCACCACCGATGAGGGACAAATGTCTTTTCAATAAAGCATAAGAGGACTTTTCAAGTTCTCAACTTTCCAAGTTCCCAACTTTTTCCAAGTTCCCAACTTTTTCCAAGTTCCTCTTTCATCTTCCCTCAATTTCCCATTAACTCTTGCTACATACCCAACAATCCCCCACATTAATGGGGAATGATTATAACATAAGGAATGCACGGACGAGTGTGTA